TCGTAGTTTATAATGTACCTTATTAAGATGCAGGGAGAAGTTTTAACCGTAATTTGCATCTGTGTGGAGTTTAAACTTGACAAACCTGAAAAGCAAGCCTTCTTGAATTAAGTATGATTCACACGATTTCCATTTTAAAAAATGGACAATAATAACCGCTTTGCATTGTACTGCACAGAATCTTTTTCTTCAGAAAACTTCCCAATCAAAAACACTTTGGCACAAGAGGAACATATGTGACTGCATAAAAGAACTCTAATACTCTAGTACTAGAGGAAAGGATATTTGCCTGCTGACATCTCAGACACTAAATCTAACTTTTTCATGTGGTCATAAATACACTGTGGGGTAGGGTAAAAGTGTATTTTGGAGTGTGCGTTTAATTGTTTTGTTCAGAGATTGTTGACCCATTCACTATAACAGTTATTAAAAAATTGACTATTTGATGATAGACTTTTTAGGGCTTATTTTCCTTACAACTTGCATTTTTGTAAAAAATAAAGTTTTACAATTAAAAACATCAATAAAAATAATGAAATAAACTTCTAGTATTGATTCTTTAAACATAAGTTCATTGTTATGTATCCCTTTTTTTCCTTTCACAAAATCTAGTGAGTTGTGCTTATTGAATGAGATTTTCAGTTTCTTTGTCTTTCCTATGGGAATACACTAAATTATTGTAGGAATACAGCTGACAAAGTAATGACTTTACCTGTGAATCAGTTTAACAAAGAAATCCCAAACTGTTAAATCTTTTACTTTTGTTTCATTAGAACCCATTTTTCTCCACTATAGAGAGACTCTTACCTAATTTTACTGTCCAGTCATGTGACCTTCAAGTTTTAAGAATACGCTACTTATTCAAAGTGCTCCCCAGCAGGGAGCTGTTAGCACAACTACAGTGAAGGAGGCTGATGACAAAAAAAGGCCGCCAAATCGTGTAGCTGTCCTAGAATGTGAAAAAGAGCTTTCTCGTTCTCCCCATTTCTTTCTTTCTTTTTTTTTTTCTGGGATATGTGTTTATTGCTGTTGTTGTTATATCCATGGGAGGATGTATTCATAAGCTTAATTATGAAACAATATACTTCAGATCGATTAATTCTAGGATACTGACAGGTCATTTTGCAACTGTGCACAGTTAATGTTAGTGTAACCACATAATTCCCGGGTGATGCAATAATCCTTCCCTCCCCTGCCCCCCTTCCCCAAAATCTAGGAAAGTCTGCAATTCTGTAAAACAGGTTGTTGCCAAATACAGAGTTTTCAGAAAGTGTTCATAGGCTGTTCCCATCATTTTTTGTCTGCCAAAGAAACAATTTTTTTGAGAATTCAAAAAATATTCTGTGAATGAAACTCTATTTTTAATGAGTTGATAACTATTCTCTGCTAATTAAATACTGATGTCAGTTATGAATTGCTGTTTTACAAATGTAGAATCAGTGGGTGAAACACTGTTGCGTTGAAGTAAGCTTCTATGACCAGTAATTTTCTTCTAATGAGTAACAGGAGTTGCTTCTATTTTGCATTTAGGAGGATTACTGCTAGGGAAGTTGGAGGAGGAAAGGCAATGAAAGGCACATTACTACAGACTCTGTAGTAATACTGTACTTCAAAAAGAAAGGATCTAAAATATAAAAAGCGTCTTAACTGGCTGACTTGCAGGAGGAAAGGAGATGATAAGAAATCGTCCTCACTCCCTGTAGGTGTTGTGTAGAAGTGCAAAATACTGATGTAAAGATTTCTGTATGGACCTCTTAAAACTTTTACTTTGGTCTAAACTATTAAGAATCCTCTGCACTGTATATTCTATTTCTGTCAGAGCTTATAGTTCCTGAAATAAGATTGGCAGAGGAAATGTACAAATTCTGTTTTTTATTAAGTAGTGTAAAATACAGTAAAAAGTTTAAACTGAATCTGTGGAGCACTGCTACATACAAAATAATTGGGGTTGAATGGGCCTTCTGGAGATTATTCGGTCCAAACTCCCAGTTTGAGAAGGAACAGCCAGAGCAGGTTGCTCAGGCCCATGTCCAGTTGGTTTTGAATGTCTCAACGGGGATAGAGCCTCCACAACCTCTCTGGGCAAATGTTCTAGTGTTCAACCACTCTCACAAATAAGGGTGCTCACATGGAATTTCTTGTGTTTCCATTTATGTCCTTGTTCTGGAGACTGAACTGCTGGGCACCGTTGAAAAGAGTCTGACACCCTCCCATCAGACCTCTTTAAACATTGGTAACATCCCCCTGCCCCTCAAGCCTTCTCTTCAGACTAAAAAGTTTTTATATCTTCTGTGAACCGGCTGAGGGTACATTGGGCCCTGTCATCTAGGTCATTAATGAGGATGTCAAACGTATCATCCCCAGTGGGCAGCCCGTGGGGGAGCAGTAGTGACTGGACTCCAGCTGGACTTTGTGGGAGGTGTGTGGGACTCTGGTGTCTTAACCTGTCTGTCCCAGCCAGACTCCCCAGAGTAGCTTTGCCTGAACCTTGCAGGTGCTTGACTGCTTTGCTGTTGTTTTGGATCAAGTTCTGTCTGTCTGCACTTGGGGTGACAGTAACCAGATACCTATTGTGATAGGGAGCCTAATGACTATTCTAACCGAAACTTTGGCTGATGATGTTAGTCTGATAGTACAATCTCTTAATTATGGTTAGTGGTGCAAACAAACAAGTCACTTGCCCTGGAACATAAAGGTTAATTTTCTTCCCTAAATTTTAACAACTGATTCAAATCACTATAAAACTAAAATGTTATAGTGTGTGCCCATTTTTAACACTATAGGTAACACTCTTCTGTGACCTATTTTCTAAACTCTTTTCTGTGAGAGATTGCAAGCTTGCTGGAAGCAAGCTTAGCTTCCTCTTCTATGTAGCCTCTTTTGGCTCCTGGTAAAGGTGAGTTTGCTGACCTATGTTAGCAACTTTCTGCAACCAGACACACTGTGTTTCCTTCTCCTCTGCTTCTAGTGTGTCGTGTTGGACAGATCTGTGGCCTGAACTGGTTCCCTGAGAATCTCTGGAGCTGGTGCAGCAGAGGGGATAGGACTGGGACAGCTTTTGAGACAGCTTGGATGTGCTGCTTGCTTTTACAGTGATAGGAAGTGGTCCCTGTCGCAATGAAATGCGTATTTGCTTCTATGGTTAGTGAGGCTCAGCTGGCTTTTTGAAAACCTTCTTCCTCTGCAAGGTATTTACGGTGTTTTTTTACCACTTCCCTGCAAAGTCATTCACAATTTCTGCTTCCGTTACGTATTTTTGGCATTGCAGTGAGCCCTGGCAATTCTAAGAAATTCATGAACCTTCAGATTTTGTGATAAATATATATTTTTTAATTTGCTTTCTGTACAGAAGATTAATGTGTACCTTCCAGTTAAGGTATTTATTCCAGAAGGTGTGTTTAAAGAGAGGAAACTGTTCTTTAAAAATTGCAGAGATTTGAACATTGAAGCAAAGCTGAGCAAAACCTCTGATACTAGAGTATAGAGGAGGTTCCTGTGTTGGTAGTTAAGTTGGCCTCATGTCTTTTCTGGTGTCTAATTTGTCAGGCAACAGAAGCAACAGTTAATGGGTTTATTAACTGTGGTCCCTCATGTATCTAGGAATTTCTTAGTTCAGAGTAAATCTTGCTGGCAATTACAGGCAGGTAAACCATAAAAAGCATTGCTTTGTAACTCATTATCTGTGTCCTTACCACATTTAGAACTT